AGGTGTTGCGTGCAAATAGTACTCGCCATATTTTTTCGCCACCATCTCATGCATAACGTAGTCGGTTGGGCGAACAGTTTATCTGTACTTCAGAAGTGACACTCTGAGAATTCAAAAAAAATTCAAGAAACAAAAGTATGTGCAAATTTTTGCTCCACTTTCGTAATACTTTTCATCATTCTACAAATAGTTCTTCTGCCATACTCTTACAAGGTAGTAAATTAAGTTTTTCATTAAATGTACTATTTCCTTTAAAATTACTTTTCGAGACAACAACTGACCCGAATTTCTACTTTAACCGATCTCATAAGGCCAAAAATCGAGAGTCTTAGGTATTTGATCTTGTATATATCCATATCTATGATATTCATTGAAAATGGACTCCTGCTGTCATTAGAGGAAGAAATTGTTGTATGAACTACTTAAAGATCCCAAGCGGGAGCTCGTGTGGCACGCGAATCGGCTTCGACTTCAGACACGAGGAAGTACAACGCTACAGGAGAATTAAGTTATAAAAAAAACAGTAATTCTGTAGAGTGGTCATCAAAGCCAAAAAGAAGCAGCCTAGTAAAGTCATAAACCTTTTACTTCCATCTACCAGCCTCGATAAACCAGGTTCGTCGCTCCAAGAAAGGGAAATTTAAGATTATTATTTAAGATTATTATTAAGTCTGAGCCCAAGTTTGCCCATTTATTGTTTTTGCAAGCCTATTGAATAATCTGTTTTTAATGTTCACTTGTAATCGTTAAATTAAAAAAAAGAGGAAAATAGAGCAAGCTTTGCTAAATAGGGATTTAGTCCAACTCAAAAAATGCGAGCCCGCACTATTGATTCCGGTGCCATCGCTGTCTAGAGAACTTGCTGACAACTTTGCTTTTTTAACTTGTTCCGCTCCTCCTTTTTCTTCAGCTTCTCGCAAGAAGGTTTTATAATGCTTTCATAGCTTAATTTTTGTAGTAGGAGTTCACTATATTTCCATATGCCGTGGCTTCTCTAGCCACCAGTAAGTACACCTGATCTACTAGAAGCCTATAAAAAAGCTCTTTAATAGCCTTCTGCCTGCATTCATTATTCTAATTCCGTTTTGGAACTCAGTCTTTTTATACTCTTTTTTTGTGTTAAATGAATTTCTCTCTGCCAATTCTACGGCTACTCCATGCGGAACACATTGCTAACGTAAAACTGGATTAGTTCTCAATGATAATTTTTAGTGTCAAGGACAACTCTTCATTGCGGAACTGTTTATAAGTTTATTGAAAATACAAATACTGTGAAAATATGAGAACTTTATAGAAATAAATTTTGCAGCCGTACTCCATTAACTGTAAAATGAACTCGATGCCATATTACAAGGTACAAATTATCCTCCCTTTGCAATTCTAAAAGAGGCAGATTTACCTCTTCTGATCCGGAAAAAGCTGTTTTTCTTCAATTTTTAGAAAACCTGGCAAAAAAAAAAAAAACAATTTTCAAACTTTAATTTTTCATTTAAAAAAATTTGTGCTTTTTTTTGCAAAATTAAATAACGAGAAAAATCAACCACTAACAGCTTCTTAAGCGGCAGAAGTATTACTGGATTCCTTTTCAGAAGCAGAATGTTGTAGAATTTAAGTATTAGAGGTAATATGCAATAATACTGTGCTTAACTTGGTGGGTGTCGGAATTCTTGCTTACTGAGTTTTTTCTGCACAATGTGTCAATTTTACAATCCGTTTATAGACAAATAGAATACATGAAATAAAATATGTAGCTTTATTGGTTAAAAAACAAATTTTTGTTGTATGACACGTAGCATACCAATAACAATAAATTCTCCAGTCGGCAGCATCTTCTCTGTTTTAATTCACTTTAATGATCAACGAAAGAGAAAATTTGATAAAATAAATACAGTTTTTTACACAAATTCTGACAGTCACTTAATGAACAAAGGAAAAGAAAAGAAAAGAAACAAAGCTGGAAGTGGGAAAAACGAATTGACGAACAAATAGTTGATTGACTGACTGCTTGATGGCTTGATTAATTGATTGATTAATTGATTAAATAAATGAAAAAATGAATAAATGTATGAGTGACTGAATGGATGAATAAATAAATTAATTAATGAATAAATGAATAAATGAATGAATGAATAGATAGATGAATAAATAAATGAATGAGCGAGTGAATGAATGAATAAATAAATGAATAAATGAATAAATAGATAAATAAATAAATGAATGAATAGATAAATAAATAAATAAATGTATGAATAGATGAATGAATGAATGAATAGATTAATGAATAGATAAATTGATGAATTAATGAATGGATGAATAGATGAATAAATGAATAAATAAATGAATGAATGAATGAATGGATAAATGAATAAATAGATGAATAAATAAATGAATGAATAAATGAATGAATGAATAAATAAATGAATGAATGAATGAATGAATGAATGAATGAATGAATAAATGAATGAATAAATGAATAGGCAAATAGATAAATAAATAGATAAATGAATAATTGAACGACTGGCTCATTATTTGATTAATTGACTGACTGACTGATTAATGGTTAAATTAACAAATAAAAAAATTAACAGGTGAATAAATGATTAAATAAATAAATAAATGATTAACTGATCAGTTAAATGGTTAACTGACTAAATTACTGATATAGTAAATGGATGTATCAATGAATAATCAAATGAATAGATAAACAAAAAATGGAACAGATGAGTAATTGAACGAATAGATGATAAAGAAAAGAAAGAAACAAAAGAGAAGTGACATTCAAGCAAATGTAAAAAAATTTGTTGAAATAAAATAGAAATTATGTGAGAGAAAAGAAAATTAAAAAATGATTGAAGCGAGAAATGTTTGGGCTTTCTAAGCGTGTACATTATAAATAATATACGAATAAAAATAAAAATAAAATTAAAATTAAAAACGGATGCAATGATAATAATAAGAACAATAATGATAATAATAATAATAATAATAATAATAATAGGATAATAATAATAATAATAATAATAATAATAATAATAAAGACAACATTAAGAGTAAGAATAAGAGTATTGGTAGTAGTGCTTATACAAATAAGTAAGACAGTGGAAATAGACAAAAGTGGCAAAAGTAAAATAAAATAAAATAAAAAAGGGAAAATATAGGCTTGTTGTTTTTTTGCGTACAGCACTTTTCATATGATATATTTAGCTTAATAGTTTTTAGCCATACCAAACCAGCTTCAGCGAAAGAAGCTTGTATAAAGAAAAAAACACCGTACGAACAAACATTATAAACTAAACAAAAGCCAACAGTGGAGGAGAACATAAATGCACAGATAGGTCAGAAAAAGCCAAAAATCTGTGCACGACAACAACCAAAAAGAGTGAATAGAATTAAAAAAACACTAATTTTTTATCTTTTAATTGTTAAAGAAAAAAAACATTGCCAGTTTACTTCCCTTTGCTTAATCTTTTTCGTGTTTTGAAAAAAAATTGTCTTCAACAGTGTTAAGTGACGATCAAAACAGTCGAAGAAAACACTGCGGCTGAGAAACAAGTGCGTTGGCGTTAGATTTAAATTGAGGCACCCAAAAAAAGACTATTTAAAATATAAGTAGAGCATTTTGTTACCTTTATTCAACAGTTAGCAGCAACTAAAATACAACTGAATAAAATAAAATAAGTCTCGTGGTTGAACTAAGTAATAGATTATAAACAGCATAAAAAGCAAAAAACCAAAAAGAACTTTTTTTTCTTACCAAGTTAACAGCGATGTCTCGTCTTTCTCTGCACAGAAGAAACATAAGAGTAGCAAAACGAAAAAAAAGAAAAGGAAGTAACTTAAAGATTCTGAAACAAGAAAAAACGAAAGAATAATTAAATTTCAAAGCTTCAAAAAACCTGGCACTACAAAAATGAGTCTGAAAATACGGTCAATTAACAATCAATTCTAGAGCATCCTTGTATTCTGTTTTATCTTTCAAAACATCCAGTGGCTATACCAGAGTAAACAACCAATGCAGACAATGTGTTAAATAATGCTCACAATTTTCATTTTGATGGCTTCCGCAGAAATGAGAAAAAATTTAAAAAAATGTTGTTAGCTTAATTTTGTTTGCAAATAAGCAACATCTAGTATAACACAACAAAAAGTAAAGTAAACCAAATAAGAAAGTAAAAAACATTATGAAAAAATTTCTGGAATTTATCTTTCTGATTTTGGTACAGGAAAAAAATGCTTGCTTTTTTTTTCATTGAACAAGAAAATTTAGACAACAAAAAATAACTTCTTAGCACCAAGTCAAATTAATGTCTCAATTACTTACCTACTTCTCTGCCTAGTTTTTTATTTTTTTATTTTTTACTTCTTTTTTTTATTTGCTTGTTTGTTTCTGTGTCAATTTTTTTTTTTGAAGCTCCTTAGCCAAGTCGTTTTTCTTCTCCTTTCTTCGTTTTACTTTTTCTTTTCTTTTTCTTCCATCTACTCTATAATTTTTTGAAAAAAACCAACGAAATACTGGTGAATAAAATTATAAAGAGATTATCACCTCACTTTACTTCAGATCACTTAATATTGAACGTATTATTCTAGACAACAGCTTTATTTTTCTATCTGAGTGACCGTGTGTGCATATTTGTGTAAACCATTATGTACTTTTCCATGTCAAAGCACTATTTTTAATTCCCTTTCAAAGTTGTTTTGCCAGAATTAGTGTACAGATCAGTAAGCACTAAGAGGGGCAACGTAAAAAATTTGCTTTTTATCTTCTTCTGTAATTCTTTCATTCAAAATATAAGTTTAAAATTTTTTTTGCAAAAATTTTTAGTAAAGTGGCAAAAAGTCTCAAGCTGAAATAAAAAACTATAAAAAAT